GGGTTTAGGGTTTAGGGCCCCAGCCCCAAGCCAGTAGACCCTGAACCCTAAACCCGGTGAGGCTATCTGGAAACCAGCTCGCCGAAATCTGCACCGACGAAGACCCTCGGCTTCCGGGAGCAGACTCGCACGCACTCTCACCATGAGTGTCAGCGGTAAACCTTAATAAACCCTAAAGAGCGACTATGATTATAACTGTTCCATGGAGGGGCTCCTTTAAGGGCTTTGGGGTTTAAAGTTTCGGGTTTTNNGGGTGTAGGGGCGGTTTAGGGTTTAGGGTTTATCCTAGGTCCTAGGTAGCATTAAGTAGACCCCTTAAAGAGGACCCTTCTTAAGCCTACTTATGGCTCTCTTAACGGGTACAGAACCAAAAGCAGAGTGAACCCCAGTGCTCAAACTTGAAGCCGCCCCCCAAATCCTAAACCTTAAATCCAAAAGCCCTGCTGTGATTATCACTTTGTTATCACCTAAAGCCCTACTAAACCCTAACTCCTAAATCCTAAATCCTAAACTTTAGACCCAAAACCCTCCTGTCGTTAGCACCACCGCTCCTCCATGAGGTCGTCCTTCGACAGCTGACGATCCAAGGCTCGCTGTCTTCTGATCCAGAGGCCACCCTGAAGCAGGGGTTTCAATGGCTTAGAGTTTAGGGGGCTTTGTGAGGTTTGTGTCCATGGTCGTGGCTTTGATGCGAATATCAGCGCCTTGACAACTAGAGTAGGGTGTGGCGGTGCATGGTAGCAGACATGTACCGGGTCTAAACGGGACTATGAGTACGAATAGCTTCGGTTTCTGTGGGGTTTGGGCAGGTTTTGAGAGTCATGCGAGATTCAAACGGTTTTTAGAGGGCTCTGGATGGGGGTTCTAGAGATTACTTAGGGGTTTCTTACTCGGGCCCAACACCTCGGGTTTTGTACGAGGGGCTTTGGGATTTAGGGATTTGGAAGAGGTGCTCGGTTTCAGATTGAGGACTTCTGCAGCTTTAGACTTGGGAACGAGGGCTTAGTCTCTCTTCTGGTTTGATCCTATTCCTGGGGTCCTTGAAGTGCCTTATAGGAATGAAGGCTCCGTGTGTTCTGTTATCATAAGGCGTCAAGTCCTGAATCGTTAGGTCTCAGCGCTAAGTCCAAGCCAAAACTCCCAAATCGAATCCAGGGTTCTACTTTCCCAAGCTCGCAGCCCTACGTCACAAATCCCAATTAAAATCCACCCAAAAACCTTTCATAAGTTCTAAACCCGAAACTCTGAACCCTTTAAGATGCAGCCTTAATGTTAAGAAACCCTTACTTGGAGGATCATGGGACTTAGTAAGCAAGGTTATACGTACCCTAGTTGGGGTTATAATTATAGTTACCTTATTTATAACCCTAGTTACTAAGTCCCATGATCCTCCAAGTGTCATTCTGAACACTGGAAACTGTACACCAGCTCCTCGCGCAGCTGTACACTGAACAGGATAGCACCT